TGAATACCCTATCTCAAAAAAAAACTCTTCACAATAAAAAGCTGGTGGAGTGGCTCAAGGTAGAGGCCCAGAGTTCAAGTACCAGCATCACAAAAAAAAAAAAAAAATCACTGAGTGGCAATACTGGCTGAAAAAGATAATGATAAAGATCTTGACAATGCTTTATGGTCTGACCTGAAGGATTGGTGACAGATTACCAAAATGGAGGACTGGCAGTTACATGTCTATTTTTCATAGTCGAGAAAGGAAAAGACTTTTGGTTAATATCTAAAGTTGTGAACAAGTAACACAATTTATTAGAGAGAACTTGGAGCACATATGTTCTGAATGCCAGCCTGCCAACAACAACCTCATGACCTCTAGTACATGACCTCTGAAAGTTAGAAAATCATTAGTATTGCCAATCAACCCCTTAATAATGGTTACGGTGATACATTTTACTTTATGTGTATTTTACCATAATTAAGAAAATAATTATGTATATTCATAAATGTCCTAAGGACTTTTGCACACAAAGCTGTACCTTAAAGATGCATGTACTAAAAAGAGTATTCAAATTAGTTACAACCAAACAATCTAGAAATATGCTTCAGTGGAAACCCGAGTTAAGAGGCATATGGTTTACAAATTTTGACTATCACTTCATATGTAACCAAATTTAAATTTAAGTCACTTAAACTTCATTTTTCCACACTAAACAATGCTTTTGCTCAGTGACTGTCAGAAGCTAAAGCACCTTGCACCTTTGCTGTTTCTACACAATGAAACTCCATAATGCAGCACAGCCCCTGGATTACTCTTAAAAATCTAGAGGGTGTTTTTCCATACACAACATAAACAAGTATTTGTAAAATGCTTAAAATTAGCATCTATGTAAGAATAACTAGGATCTCATTTATAGAAATTCTAGAAAATCCAAGCTAAGGTATAGTGTTAGTAATCAAACCAGTGGCAACCTGGGATTGAGAGAATGTGCAGGGCTGGAAGAAAATACAGAAGAGCCAAAAAAACTATTAGTGCAACTGTTAAATTTATTACCATGACTTTGATGATGGTTTCATTTTCATACATATAAAAAATACACATTACATTTAATAAGTGTAGTTTAATGTCATTGATACCTCAATAAAGCTGTTAAGAAATACGAATTCCATATAACACTTGGATCTGCCCTTCCCCTAGAAAATGTCACAACATGACCGAAGTGGTACTGACTCTATTGATACCCTGTACTGTCTTAGGTGGATCAACTCTGGCTTTGTGGCAGCCTAAACTGGAGGGCAGTGAAGGTCATGGTCACTTGAGTCACAAGGAATAATTGCTTGGTCATGAAGACCCAGGGACTATTATCCCTCTCTTCTCGGTCATAAGTTTCCTGCCAGTGCAACTATGGTTGCAAAATAATACCCCAGGCAGGCTACAGAAATCCATTAACCTTTTGAACTCATTGCTCGGGCAATGACCTTGGTTGTAGAACATGCACAGATTTCAGATCCATCCAACTTGTATATTAACCTCACCCCACACTGTCATATCAATGGGACATTTGTGGATGCTCTTGGGGGAAGGGGAGGGTCACCCACTGTACTTCAGTCTGTCCCACTTATTATAAACACAACTAGTACTTTTTTTTTTTTTTTTTGCAGAGTTTAGCTCCCACTTGGTCCCAAATGTCCACAGCCAAGGACACAACTTCAGGACACACAACTCTTTGGCAGGTCAGAGACAGCTGTCTCTACAGTGCAGGGGAATACAGCAAACATATCCAATTCATGCCAAATATCCTGAAGATCAAGGCAACTACCCTGTCCTCGAGATGACTTTGGGAAATACAAATAATCCTTTATTCAGAGCATGAGATTTGTGCAAAAGTCCTTCAGACTTTTCCAGGCTTCTCCTGGCAATGAAAATTGATCCAAATATGGACAGGAACCAATCTTTCTCTCTTTACTCCCCCCTCAGGAGCACACAAAGCAGAGGCCCCACAAAAACTGTACGAAACGTTCTTTCATTCTAGCAGAGACCAGTTAAAAAGAACACAGTAAAAAGATCCCCAAGACTTAAGGTAGCTTAAACAATATGACACTTACCATCACAAAAACTAATGAGGAAGAGGTCATGGTGCAGATGACTTGGAGATGAGAAAAACCCATTCTCAGAATCACAAGATGACCAATAATGCCCCTGAAGAAGTAAAACTTCCTTTAAGCTGCTAATCAGTGCCAACTCATGTCCTCTACCTAAAGCTGATGCCCACAACCCAAACAATCATGAGGGGGAAAGTGAGGGCCTCAGTGCAATCATGTGATCAGCGAATCCTCCACACGGACTCTCTGCGTGATGACATGCCGAAGTATTTTAACATGACTAAGGTATTACTTACTCTCTGCCAGTTGGTGAACAAATTCAAAAGTAAATGCAGTTTACAAGCTTACCATATAGTTAGCAAGATAGTAACATTCATATGGATGTTAGAGGTTCAACTGCTGGCTCTCTTTTCACAAAGTTACTCCCTAGAGCTTCACTCGACTGAACTATGTTAAGGAAAGAGTATCTTTTTTTTGGCGGTACTGGGGCTTGAACTCAGGGCCTCACATTTGCCAGGCAGGCACTCTACTACCACTTACCACCAGCCCAAGAAAGAACATCTTGCCTGCATCCCCAAGGTCCTTCTCCAGTGTGAACTGCTGAATGAGATCAGGAAAATGGCAGGACTTTCCAGTAGTCACTACATTTGTATATTTTATTGCAGTGCTGGGGATAGAACTCAGGACCTTGCACACACTAGATAAGTGCTCTACGCACCCTAGCCCATTGCACTTTTTTTTTTTTGGCAGTACTAGGGTTTGAACTCAGGTCTTGAGCTTGCTAGGCAGACACTCTACCACTCGAGCCATGCCTCCAGCCCTTTTTGCTTTATTTTTTGATATAGGGTTTCACATTATGCCTGGACCAGCCTGGACTGCAATCCTACTTATTCTTCACATCAAGCTGGTGTGCGCCACCATGCCCACATTTTTATTGGTTGAGATGGGGTCTCTCGAACTTTACGCCTTGAGTGAACTCCATCTTCCCTATCTCTGCTTCCCAAGTAGTTAGTATTACAGGTGTGAACCATACAGTACCTGGTCTCCACTGCACTTTTAATATCTGAGTAGAGTTGCTTTTTAAAATATAAAGTTCTTTTGTAGCAAGAAATAACATATGTGGATATATGAACAACAGAACTAGTTTTACAGCTGGGAAAGAAGAAAGAACTGACAGGGCCCCGTGCAGACTTACACTGGGGGGGCAGGGTACTAGCACCCTGAAGTTGAAGAAGCAGCTTCTATAAGGCAACTGGATTGCTTAGCTGTTTCCCAGGTTCCCAGGAGACTGGCTAATGTGAACAATTTGGGCTGACACATAGTGACTCAGAGTGTGAGAGTCCAATAAGGGAAGTATAGTTGCAGATATAGATTACTTCTAGCCTAGACATCCAAATGCACTTAAGATAGTATTTTTTAAAGGTATATATCTAACTTGTAGTACTATCATATAAAGACCAATAATGTCCAGAAATAAATCCCAGCATATTTGGTGAAATGGTTTTTAAAAGGATACCAAGATTATTCAATAGAAGAAAGGCAGTCTTTTAATAAGTGATGCTTGGAAAGCTAGATATCCACATACAAAAGCACAAAGCTGGTGGTTTTGCAAATATCTTAAACAAAAATAAACCGAAGCCAGGCAGAGTAGTGCACTCCTGTAGACCCAACCACTCAGCAGGCTGAGGCAGGAGGACTGCTTGATCCCAGGAGTTTGAGGGCAGCCTGGGCAAAATAGCAAGACCTAAGGTCTATGGATATGAAATTCTTGGAATAAAGGGAAAATGCTTCATGACACTGGATTTGACAGTAATTTCTTGGATCTAACAAGAAAAGCATAGGTAAAAAGGGGCAAACTGGACTTCAAAAAAATAAAAGTCTCATCAAAGGGCATAACAGAATTAAAGGCAACCTATGGGCAAAGAGAAACTGAAAATCATGTACTTAGGGAATTAAAATCCAGTATATCTTTTTAAAATTCCAATTCAACAAAAAAACTAAATAATCCCATTAAATGGGAGAAAGACTTGAAAAGGTTTCTCCTAACAAGCATAAGAAAAGATGCCCTACAACACTAGTAATTAACCATATAAAAGTGAAAAATGCAGTGTCCCACATAATACCAATAGGGTAAATGCTTCACGCACACACAAAACACACATACATACACATACGTACACATACACACACACTCAAGAAACAAAGAAGTCAAAAACACCCAAATGAAGCACTGACAAGGACAAAGACAGACTGGAACTTTTGTGTACTGTCTGAGGGAATAGAAAATGGTTCAGTGCAGGGACTATGGAAAACTGTTCCTAAAAGTTACTTCATGACCCCCTATTTCTCTTTCTGTATATGAATCAAAGACTTGAAAACAGGGTTTCAAACAGCTTTTTTACACTCATCTTCGTAACAGCATCATCCCTAATAACCAAGTGTCTGTTACTCAACGAATAAAGCAATGTGGTATACAGACAGTGGAGCATTGCTTCTCTGAGAGATTTCTGACACATGCTGCAGCACAGGTGAACCTCTGGGAAGTTATCCACAGTGAAATAAGCCTGTCACAAAAGTCATACTGCATTATTGCACTGATACAATGGACAAACAGGTATCAAATTCACAGATACAGAATCATAGAAGCCGGGACGGTAGGGAAGAGGAATAAGGATCCTGTTTAACGAGAACAGTTTCACTTCTGCAAAATGAAACAAGTTCATTGTATTAAAATGTGAAATTATAACACATTAACTCTCCAATTGAAATGATCAATGGTAAATTTTCTCCGTTGTGAAATTGCTCATGTTTAATGGAGCTGGAGTTGTACCGAAAGAATTCCCCACATTCAGGGAGCACACAAGCCTCTCCTCACTGTGGACCTTCTGATGATGAGTCAGGTGGGACTTTCTGATGAAGGCCTTCCGACATTCACTGCACTCAAAAGGTCTTTCTCCAGTGTGGATTTTCTGGTGCTCCACAAGGATATGTTTGTGGCTAAAGGCCTTCCCACAGTTAGTGCACTCATAAGGCCTTTCTCCAGTGTGATTTCTCCAGTGCTTAATGAGGTTGGAGTTGTACCGAAAGAATTTCCCACATTCACTGCATTCATAAGGCCGTTCTCCAGTGTGGACTCTCTGGTGTCTAATGAGTCTGCAGTGGTACCTAAAGGCTTTCCCACATTCGCTGCACTTATAGGGTCTTTCTCCAGTGTGGTTTCTCCAGTGCTTAATGAGGTTGGAGTTGTACCTAAAGAATTCCCCACATATGCTGCACTCATAAGGCCTTTCTCCTGTGTGAAGCCTCTGATGTCTAATGAGTGTGGAGTTGTACCTAAAGAATTTCCCACACTCACTGCATGTGTAAGGCCTTTCTCCAGTGTGAACTCTCTGATGCTTAATGAGCGTGGAGCTGTCCATAAAGAATTTCCCACATTCATTACATGCATAAGGCCTTTCTCCAGTGTGAACTCTCTGATGTCTAAAGAATGTGGAGCTGTACCGAAAGAATTTCCCACAGATTTCACACTCATAAGGCCTTTCCCCAGTATGAACTCTCTTATGTCTCATGAGTCTATAGTTGTACAGAAAAGATTTTCCACACTCCCTACACTCATAAGTCCTTTCTCCACTGTGAGTTCTCTGATGTTTTACGAAGTTGGCATTGTACTTAAAGAATTTCCCACATTTGTTGCACTCATAAGGCCTTTCTCTTGTGTGGATTTTCTGGTGCTCAACAAGTGAATATTTGCACTTGAAGGCTTTCCCACATTCACTGCACATGCAATCACTGTGTCCAGGTTGCCTGGCTCCCCCACCCTTGGGTTCCCTGTCTGGCTTCCACCCACAACAAGGGACCTGGCGTGGGAGAAGGTCTGAGGTGGCTGGCAATTCCTTCCAACCCTCCCTGCATGCAGACGTCTTCTCTGCCATGTGAACTCTGTGGTTCTTCAAAAATGAAACTCTCCATCTGTCCCTTCTACAAGGATCTCCTATCTGCTTTTTGGACTGGTAAAGCTCTTCCTCACAAGTATGTATCTTCTGTTCTGTTTGTGCTCTATTGTGCTTGGCCAGGCGCAAAATGTCTTTCAAGAGCAGGTCACATGTCTCACTAGGCTGAGTCTTCTGAGTAAACAAACCTGGCTTTGGGATCCAGACCTGTGATGCTCCTACAGAAACACTTTGCTCAGAAGGTGCTTCCTCATCCTTGGCTCCATCCCAACAACCTATAAAAACAGAAATGCTGAAGTGCATGCTGACTTTAGTGGGAGGGGACCCCCATCACAAATGTGTGTCAAACATGGCACTGCTGACAGGCACTGGACATAAAGCCACTAAGAGGAAGACCTGCTGTGCAGAGCTGGGCCTGGTAAGCTCTCATGATGGAAGATCCCTGGAAATGAGTAAGAACACAGAAAGAAAAGGTACAATGCAGGGAAAAGAGGCAGGATCTCCAATCTGCTCCTCTGTAAAACCTGACAGGCTATGGCTGCTGGTAACTAGGAAAAAGTGTGAAGAAGGCTGTGTTCAGGGCCAGAGATTTCTTAAGTGGAAATAATATGTTGGAGGCCTGCAAAGGGAGCAGTGGAAAGGAACAGTGAGAGGTGCAGGCCACAGAAAGAACATGGGAGGAGTAAGGGCGGGCAGGAAATCAAGAGCAAAATTGTGGAAGAAAAGTTAGAAACATGGTGTGGCCACTGGCCCTGGCCTAAAACACTGGTGGACAAAGGACAGGTTCCCAATGTGGTCTGAACCCAGCTCTGATGTCCCACCCTTCCCAACTCTCAAGCACCAGAGTGGTATCCCTGTAAGCCTCTGTCACAATTTCTAAAGTAATATCCACTCTCAGGTGGATCTTGTCATCACTCAGGGTGACAAACTACATAGGGCTTGGAAGAGGCAAGCCCAAGAGGAAACACAGGGAAAGGTGGACAGCATGCCCAGAGATCCACCCAACAGTGTTCCATATTCTATGATCACAAAGATATCAGAGAAAACTACCACAGAGTCAATCCAGTGGTCTCCCAAATTAGTGACCAGGTCAGTGCTAGAAATTGCAGGCACAGGAAGGCACCAAAAGTATCAGCAAGAGCAAGGGGACAACCAGGAGCATGGAAATATCATACATGTGGACAGAGTAAGGTGTTCAGGGATAGGCAAGGTCATTGGGCTTGCTAAGACAAAGTAAGCATTTCTGACCCCACCCCTTTTGTGCAAGCCCTCAGGGCAGCAGGGATGGGGCTGCTTTGGTAGAAGCAGTTTTGTGCATAGTGTGGTCTTGGTGTGGGAAGACAAAAATGCCCACTCCAATAGGGAAAACACAGCCCAAACCAGAACACTGAGGTGGGTATGAGGGTCTTACCTAGTGAGGACAAAAGTGCCAAGTTCTCCAGCATCACGTCACAGTACAGGAATCTCTGAGCCTCATCAAGTTGCCGCCACTCCTCCTGGGAGAAATATATGGCCACATCCTCAAAGACCACATGGCCCTGCTACAATGGAGACAGGTGAGCAGATGAGCAGCTTCTTTTCAGTTTTCCTAAATTTTGTATTGACTTATTTAGCACCTATTAATTACAGGGCTGAAATACCAGTGAAGTTTGTTTTCCTCTCTTGTGCTATGTACAGCCCATATACTGAACAACCTCCTTATCTAACTCTCACAGATCCACCCAGTATTTCCCTTGTCCTTAGTCAACCCAGGGACAAAGTACTAGAAAATTAAGGATAGCTCCTGTGCTCCAGCTATGCTGGAACTATTCAAACTAGCCAAACTTAAGCTTCCCAACCAGCCCCACCCTGTCTTTCTCCTGGGAACCCCAATAAAGGCTATGTCCTAAGCTACCCCCTCATTTCTGTCTTATGCCTCCTGACCAGGTCAGTTCTTTGCCATGTGGTCCTGTGTTAGGTAGTGTGCACTCTCCTTGGGAAAATGCAGGGAATACATACCTTCTTTTATTGTTTCATCTTATCATTCATTCACCCATAAATTATAACCCTAGAAGTATAATCACTGCTGTACTTTCCTCTCTTCAGGTTCCACTCCTTCTCCCCATACATCTGTCCACAGTTCAGTTTCCTCCATGCTTTCCCAATATGGAAGAGACATGAACTCCTGGTGACATTGGCACCCTTTCTCTCCTCATTTTCTTTGATTACTATGTCTAGTACTGTGGGCCTGGTATGCAGAACACATCCCTTCTGGCTAGCCATCTTCCCTGAGGTCCCCCAGATTTTGCTTTCCAGATAACCAAACCCATACTCATGTGCCCAATGCCAGGGCCTGGGTTATCCATCCACACTCCTCCAGCCTGTGCAACACTGTTTGAACTGTACTCCAACCACAGCCCCTGCCCCTCCACTACTGTAATTCTAGACATCTCCCAGTCCACACCACAGGCCTGTCTATCACCTCTTAACTCTGCACATAGTAACACAAAGTACATCACAAACATACTCAGCTTCCAATTCAGCATCAGTCCTGCCCCAGAACCCCAAGCTCCCCTAGCACCAGGGACAGCCCAAAGCACTGCTCTGAAGGCTTTGTCATTGGCTCCTTCTCACTTCACGTAGGCCTTCATAGAGCTCTCATACACTCCTAGCCATCTCCAGCCTCTATACTGCACACCCTGTCCCACAAAGCACCTTGCCCACCAAAACCTCATTTAAAATCCAGCTGCAGGGCTGGTGGTGTGGCTCAAGTTGTACAGCACCTGCCTAGCAAGTCTCAGGCCCTGAGTTCAAACCCCAGCACTGCCAAAAAAAACATAGTAGTCTTTTTTGCTCCTACATGCCACTCCCTATTTCACACACACACTCACACTTGAACATACACACATCATCTGTCCTTGCATCTCTTTCACTGCCATCAAAATGCCCACCTACGTGACCCAGTTGTGAGACCCCTCACTCTCACTTCTTATCCCCAAATGGCATTGCATGGTAACTCAGAGATGCTACTTCCTAATTTCAATCTATAGCTTCCTTCCCATGCACACACCAGTCAGTAAGTTGTGATGTCTCCAACCTGAACTCCTCCACTAGGAGTTTCTAGAACAAGTGTGATATGGACAATACTCACTCCTCACAGTCCCTCTGAAAATTCCTCCATCTTAGCTGGAGCATCTATTCATTCTTCCAAAGAAGACCAAAAAAAGGTCATCCGTAATTCCTGTTTGATCTCACCCCACTCACTCATCTCTCTCTCACTTTCTGTATCATCAAATGTGGCAATACTAATTCAAAATACCTTCTGTAGTCAGAGGGAGTCTCTTCAGTCTGGGTCATCTCACTGCCGTCTTTTGCTTCAAATCTTCCCCAGCTCTCACCTCCCACAGAACCTCAGGCCTCTACTCATCCTTCTCATTGCTCCCATTTATACCACATATAACAAAGGCCACTCCGTGGAATCTTGCCTCCACGCGTGCAAACATTCTGGATTGTGTGCCCAGGATACTCTGATACATCTTACCCCATCAGCTGTCAAAAATGGGAACCACTCCATATAACTCAGGACCAAATGCAGGATCCCAAGCTGATGAAACTGAAAGTCTCTTATGCCTGAAAGTCCTCGGACATAAGAGAGGGAGAAGGATAGACAGTGATATTTTTCCTTTTACTGGGGTTCCAAAGCCAGCTGGGAGGTAACTGGGATGGGTGAAAAGCACAAAACCCTCTACTCACCCATGCAGGATCCATTTCTACCACCGCCTAGGTGACCTGAAGAAAGAAGGAAGCCAAGAGAAATGGGCAGCTATGGTGGAATCCTACAGGCTAAGCTGGACCACTGCCCCTTGGCCCTGCCTTCGAACAGACTGATCTCAAGCTAAATGTATAAACTCACCTCCTCAGACATCAGAGCTTCTTAGATGTTTGATTCTGGAAAAGAAAACAGAGGATAAGAATGGTTCCTACCTCAAGGTGTGGGGATGCATGCCTGCAATCCCAGCACTCGGGAGGCTGAGGCAGGAGGATAGAGAGCTACTGACAAGCCTGGGCTACAGATTGAGACCCTGTCTCAAAACACAAATGGTTCCTACCTCACAGGGTTCATATTGGTATCAAATGTTAGTAGCACAGAATAGAGGACCCAGATATGAAGCCACACAACTATAACCAACTTGTCTTTGACAAAGGCACTAAAAATATACAATGGAAAAAGACAGCCTCTTCAACAAAAACTGCTGGGAAAACTGGTTAGCAGACTGCAGAAACTGAAACTAGATCCATGTTTATCACCCTATACCAATATTAACTCAAAATTGATCAAGGATCTTAATATCTAATAATACCAAACTCTAAAGTTGTAAAGTTGGTACAGGAAACAGTACGAAATACTCTGGAATTAATAGTTATAGGCAAGAACTTTCTCCATGGAACCCCAGCAGCTCAGCAACTAAGAGATAGCATAGTTAAGTGGGACTTCATAAAACTAAAAAGCTTCTGCTCAACAAAAGAAATGGTCTCTAAACTGAAGAGACCACCCACAGAGTGGGAGAAAATATTTGTCAGCTACACATCAAAGGACTGATAAACAGAATATATAGGGAACTTAAAAAACTAAATTCTCCCAAAACTAATGAACCAATAAAGAAATGGGCAAGTGAACTAAACAGAACTTTCTCAAAAGAAGAAATTCAAATGGCCAAAAAAATGCTCACCATCTCTGACAATAAAGGAAATGCAAATTACCACACTAAGATTCCACCACACCCCTGTTAGAATAGCCATGATTAGCACCACCACTAACAACAGGTGTTGGCGAGGATGCGGGGAAAAAAGAACCCTCTTACACTGCTGGTGGGAATGTAAACTAGTACAACCACTCTGAAAAAAAATTTGGAGGCTACTTAAAAAGCTAAACATTGATCTACCATATGACCCAGCAATACCACTCTTGGGGATATACCCATAAGACTGTGACACAGATTACTCCAGAGGCACTTGCACACCCATGTTTATTGCGGCACTATTCACAATAGCCAAGTTATGGAAACAGCCAAGGTGCCCCACCACTGACGAATGTATAAATTCCATTTATACACAATGGAATTTTATGCAGCCATGAAGAAGAACGAAATGTTATTATTTGCAGGTAAATGGATGGAATTGGAGAATATCATTCTGAGTGAGGTTAGCCTGCCCAAACACCAAAAATTGTACGTTCTCCCTCATATGTGGACATTAATCAAGGGCAAACACAACAAGGGATTGACTTGGATCAATTAAAGCGAGACCACACAAGGAAGGTATGGATAGATAAGACACCCAAAAACTAGATAGCATTTGTTCAACGCAGAGAAATTAAAGCAGATACTTTAAAGCAGCTGAGGCCAACAGGAGAAGGGGACCAGGAACTTGAGAAAAGGTTAGTTCGAGAAGAATTAACTTAGAAGGCAACACACATGTACAGGAAATCAATGCATGTCACCCTGTATAGCTATCCTTATCTCAACTAGCAAAAACCCTTGGTCCTTCCTATTATTGCTTATACTCTCTCTTCAACAAAATTAGAGATAAGGGCAGAATAGTTTCTGCTGGGTAGCGAGGGGTAACGGAGGGGGTGGGGGGAAGGGAGAGAAATGACCCAAACATTGTACGCACATATGAATAAAGTAAAAATTAAAAAAATATATTAGTAGCATATCCTATGTATCAGCTACTGCCATCCATAGAAGTTTTGTAAATTTTCAGTACAAATAATGTATGATTTTGAAACTGTGCGTACATTTTTAGCTTTTTAAGATTTTAGAGGATGTGGTATTAAAATTTTCCATTGTAAGCAAATGCTTAGGGTAAACCAATGTCAAACCAATTATTAAGTATTTGCAGAAATGTAACTTTCTGAATAACTTCACTTCTAATTGCCTGCCTGTGTCTACATTTTTAGAAGCATATTGGTTAATTAGTTAAATTAACTAAGTTAATTAGTTAAATCAGTGTGTGTTGCATACATCTTAGGTTAATGAGCTGTAGGGAATGTTGAATGGACAGGTCAACCACTAACCCTCCCTGCAACCAAACCTGCCTGTTACAGAGTGTGCAGAAGGGAGTTTGCTGGGGTTTCTTGACACAACACTAAATTATCTTGTCTTGTCCTGAGATTTGGGTACAGGGAAAAAAGCAGTGCCTGGTCAGGAATCTAGCTGATCCATTAGACTGGATCACTTTTCTATTGTCCCAGAGTGGTTCTGAGAATCAGCCAAGCCCACAAGTGGACAATCTAAACAACCTCACACCACAGTCTCCATTCTAGACCAGCTCCTTAGCCTATCCAAGATCCCTTTCAACAGTGATGGGCCGGAATCCCTCCTATGCCAGGTTTGCACTTTTCTGAAGGACCTGGGTTGTGGACTCTTCGTGGTCCGCCCTCCATGTCTTAAACCATGGAGAATAACCACCTCAAGATCCCCTTACTCAGTCTGAGCTTCAGCCATGCTCTGGTCCAGTTCACAGTTTCCATCCTTTTGATATCTTCAACCCAGCCCTCTTCCTCAGACAAAATCTTTATGTCCTCTACCATGTGCTATTTCTACCTCAACACATCTGAAAAGAATTTGGGACAAAAATCTAACCCATGATCGTCTCCCTGAAACCAGCTTCTCATGCTAATTTCTCCATTACCATTCCTTCCGACAGGGGTGGGAGGACCCACACTTGGGGTAGTCCTTCACTGACATATTTGATGAAACAGGAAATTCTGTGAGCTCAATCTTTGAAATCTACCCAGAATTTCATCACACTGCCCTCCTTTAGCATGATATTCCTGGGGTCCATTGCAGCAGCCTCCTTAATAGTCTCCCTGCCTTAATTCCACACCCCCACCTGGCGCGCCCGGTGCTTCCCAACACTAAACTTCCAACTTCCGACCCGCTCCACCAACTCGCCCTCCATGGCTTCCAGATGTTGAGGCTGCCATTCCAGATAAGACACCACCAACTCCTCTTTCCTGCAAAACAACAGACACCCCATGTGCTCCCGAAAGTGCCCTGTAGCACCTACAGGGCTTTGCATGGCGGGAACTCTCTTCCATCCTCCATCACAATGGTTGATCGCGAACCCCCACGAAAGACGCCCGTGCTGTGGACAAAGGGACCTGACCTGCAGTGAACTGAGCGGGGATGGATTCGGGCGAGAAGACAGCCTGGGGACTGAGTACCCACCTAAGTTGAGCTCCTTCCTGGGCGCGGCTCTGCCAACCAGGCCCGGAAAGAATGGGAGAGGGGAGACAAAGATACCGCCGTGCCCAGAGTGGCTCAGTGGAGCCTCATCCCCGACTCTGGGTAATGGGACCCAAACATCTTGCATTTTTCCGTTCTGTCCCCTCGGTGACAACCCAGTCCTCCATAGGTCTAAGCGGCGGAAGAAACCATACAGCAACCAAAATGGCTACTACCAGGACGACGCCGAAAGTCCCGCCCCATATAGTGCGCACACACGTAAACGCTCACGTCTGTCTTAAGCTTTCATTGGCTCAATCATCACCGCCCCACGAGAGACTGATTTCTGGGTAATGGAGTTTCCACGCCGTTCCCGCCTCCTCTCAGCGATTTGGTCACTCCTTACTTGGTAAAGGCCCAATGGCACCGTGAGGGACGCTGGGAAATGGAGTTCCAGGCTCCCACACCCTGGAACATGTAAGGCTTCCCTTAAAGGCAACATAACCAGATTTTCTTTTCTTCCTTTGTTTTTTTGAGACAGGTCTTGCTGTGTAGCCCAGGCTGGCCTCCAACTCACCATTCTCTATCCTCAGCTTCCAAAGTACTGGGATTTCAGGAGAACCAGATCTAGATTTCCTTAGCTTGGGATGCTCACGTAAATGTTAGAGACCTGTTATTTCACTCTGTGATACAGAGTTCTTAAAGGAACATGCGCGCCATAGCTCAAAGGCAATCTGCGACCCCCTCGTACCTGTCAACTGTTCTGCTTCTTTTTAATTTACATGTAAAAATAAGTTTCAAAGCCAATTTCATAATCTTCACGGTGCTGAGGCAAGAGGCACGTGCTTACCATGCTGGAGGCTCTGGGTTCAAACTCAGCAACAATAACCAATTAATACAGTAACAATGATTTTCAGTACCTTTGGTCCAGGGAAACACATACTATACAAAGGGGAAAATGGAGGAGTTATGATAGGAGGGGTTGAAGTAGGTTGAAATGGTGAAAGTATGTCTTTGATTCTCTTAGGCAGCTTTTTGACATTTTTAACAAAATACCTGAGAAAACAAGTCAAGCGAGTAAGGTTTAGTTTGGCTCATGGTTTCAGATGTTTCAGTCATGGCTTCCATGCTTCTAGGCATATGCATGATGAGACAGAACACCATGGCAGGGAGCATGGGCTTAAACCAAGTTGCTCATATAATGGAAGACAGGAGGAGAAAAGACAGGGGAAGCGTCCAGGGACAAGATACGCCCTTCCAGGGCCACCCCACACACACTTCTTCCAACTAGGACCCACCTCCACTACCTCCCAATAATGCCATCAAATTACGAATCAATGGATAAACCCACTAATGAAGTTAGTCCCCTCATGATCCAATCACCTCCAACACATGAGCCTTTGGTAGGTTATTTCCAATCTATAACAAATTCCAAAAAAACCCACATTTTTCCTGACTGCATAGCCACTGATTGTTTTCCTATCCAGGGAGCAAAAATTTTATTCAGATAATATTTATTGCTTCTTATGTAGGACATTTTCCAGTTATTTTAACAATCACAAAATGAAAATGAGAACTGAATACATTCTTTGCCAAATCACTGTGTGGCATTTTTCATAGGAAAAGCATATGTGTATGAGGAAAAAACATGAAATTTCATCATTTCATCTTCTTGTTGAGAAATTATCATTTCACTTATAACTGCAATAGCATCTGCACAGGGAGTTAAAATTACCTGTGGAAAGCACTTGCAAAATGGAAATTACCAAGATTTATTGGTAATGATATTCAAAAGCAGTTCTCATGAAACTAAGATTTCAGTGAAATGTAAGAGACATCAAAGTCCAAGAAGAAAATGAACCTTAGTCACATTCATGCATTTGTCTCCACAATGTAATTGGTTTTTCATACTTGAAAATATTGCCCACTGTCTGTTTGATGGGAGTAGACACAATAAAAGACTGGCCACAAAGGTAAAAAGGAATGGGGAAGCAGTGCAGTGATGCATATTTATCTTCAGTAAGTTAAGTGTACTGTGTTTCAGGCATCATAGTAAATGCTGGGATATACTGAAAATGTGTTCTGTAATTTCTTAGATTTATTATTTATTTGGCATTCATTAATCTCAGGGCATATATTCCCATACTGCCCAATGGGGATGGCCCCCACTTGGTTACTTCCTGCACTGTACCAAATAATGCAGAGTCCCAGTTTCTTTGTATCTTCCTCCAATTCCCCTTTCTCCTTCTCCTCCATCTCCTTGCTCTCACCCTTTTCCTCCCTCTCTCTTCCCCTTTTCTCCCTCTTCTCTCTCAACCTTTCCCCTCCCTCTCCTCTTTCCTCTCTCTCTCTCCTTCTTCCCCTCTCCTCTTCTTCCTCTCTCCCAGAATACCGGACCAAAATGAACCTGTTTATTTCCTAAGTACCCTGTGTCAGTTACTTTGCTACATTGACACAAAGCAAACTGATGCAAAAACTAAAAATACAATCCATGAAAGAAAAGGTGGGTAAGTTGGACTTTCAAATTTAATTTCTTTCTGCAAAAGACACATTTGAAAGAATATGAAAAGATGCTAATCACCTGTCGTTAGGGATGTGCAAACCAAAGAAAGCCACAATGATATAACATTAAGTATATATTTGAATGGCTTCAATTCAAATGCTGATGAAGAATTGGAGCACTACAATTGTCATTCATTTCTGGCTGGAATTAAAAGTAACACAGTCACTGTGGAATACAGCTGGGCACTTTACCACACTAAACACACTCTTGATATACAACCTAGCAAATCATGCTCCATGGTATCTACCTAAATGTGTCAAAAACTTATGTTCACACAGAAACTACACACAAATATATGTAGCAGATTTATTCATACATGCCAAATCTTGAAAGCAACTAATATGTCTCTCAACAAGTGAATGGATAAACAAACCACGCATGTCTATTCAATGGAATGTTCTTATCTTATAACCTGAATGCAAATCCTCACAGCACCTTTATATGTAATAGTCAAAAACTACAAACAACCCAATCATCCATTAACAACTGAATGGATTCTAAACATGTGGTATACAATGGAACAATACTCAGCAATACAAATTAACAAACTAAGAATTGAGTCATGCAAAAAGACAGACTGATCTCAATAAAGCTATGGTTAGAGGAAAAAAGCCAGAGCCCCCTCTCAAAAAAAGTACATTATTATTCACTTATTCAGTCCTGCAAAGTGTTTGCTGTTGTCATGAATGTGCGACGCTGGGAAGGGCTGGTAGAATTATAAGAGGATGCAAGGGATCTTTTGGTCGTGTTGGTTTTTTCATTACCTTCATTATGGTGGTTTTGCAGGTGTATACACACACACACTGGAACAGCACACATTTTACACTTTACATATTAGCAGTGTACTGCATGTTAATCATACCTCAATACAGCTGTTATGAACTGATTTTCCCCATAAGAATTCCTATTCCTATTCCTATTCCTATTGCTCTTGAAAGTCAGATCTGTCAACCATTTTGGCTGTACCAAATGCCTCTCCCAATTTAGGAGAGTGATGCCTGATTCAATGTCAGCAAAAACTGGAAAACACTGAAGTTCAAGTTCACCTCCATCACTAGGAGTGCTAACTGGGTCAGAGAAGCCCCATCCCTTTCTAAGTGCTGGGGTTCCCACCTGTCCAGTGATGGCCATAAAGTCAGCAGGTACTCTGACATGGCTTTGGCCACAGGAGATAAATGTCTAGAGGCTCAGAGAATCTTTGTACATCCTATTCCCACACAACCATAATTGCATGGACATCTGTGAACGACCCTTTAGAATACAGAAATATATGCCACAGCTACTCCCACTTCATTGTTTATTACGAAGCATGACTCCCAGCTTGCCCTGCAGGCCTTGGCAGTCAATGGCAGTTGCCTATATGATCCTGGATATCAGAAACTTGCTCCTGTACATGTCTGGGAGATACTAATCCCTCAACAATGCTGGGGAAATTGTGGCAGTCAAGGAACCCAACCCTGGTTGCTTCCAGAAGCATGAAAGATTTTCAAATCAACCTCAATGAACACTGAGCTCACAAAAAAACCAAAAAAAAAAATAACCTTACATCCAGGCCACAGAATTTGGCACATAATGCTCTTCAGGTTTCTTTTTGATTTTTTGTTTGTTTGTTTTCCTAGCAGGCCTATAGCAAGAGAGCACTTTAAATAAAAGTAGACTGAGAAACATTCTCTGCTATACTGTAGTCCCCTCTGAGGCAAATAAAGGTTATGGCCACAAAAGTTCTCCCTTCATTTTGGCAGGACCCAACTGTTTTCTTGATCCACTCCACACAGTAAACAGAACCAAGAGTAAATCACATCATGGTATGCTTCTATCACTGTGTAAGCATGGAATGGCAGTCACAATGTTGGGATTTGGCAGAAAGACAAGTAAGTCATCGCTATAATGTTCATGGCCAACACTACCCATGAAGAAGGGAAACATCAGGAAATACCTAGCAGAGGCTAGCTCAAATCCTTCTGGCCAGAATTATATTTCCTCAGAATGTAGTAATGAGAGGACAAGGGGACCCTCAATGGGCACAAACATTCATTACTTTCTATAGGGAATAGGAGAATGAGCAGATGTCTGCCTTCCCTGAGCAGGATGGAGTGACTGACAGACAGTTGGTAGCAATAAGATGAGCCAGTAGCACCACAGGCACTAGCAATGACATTAATTGTGGAGAGCCCTGAACAATTTAGAAACCCCAAACCATTTCACTAAATGTTCATATGTGATTCTTATTGGAAATCTCTCCAGAGAGGAGAGAAGAATGGACAGGTGAACCTGTAGGCTGATGGTTGCCTTATGAAGAATATTCAGAGCTTTTCTGGTGTGATGGAAATAGGAAATTTCCTCATTCATAAGACCTTCCTCTAGTGTTAATTTTTGATGCTAAACAAATTTAAGAGATGCAGCTAGAGTGTCACCAAAATTTTCACACTCATGAGACCTTTCTTCAATGTGAACTTTCTGGTGCCGCGCGAGATGGGAGCTTCTGCTGTAGGCTTTTCCACAGTCACTGCAGACATAAGGCTTTTCTCCAGTGTGAACTCTCTGGTGCAGAATGAGGCTAGAGTTGCGACTAAAGAATTTTCCACACTCATTGCACTCATAAGGTCTTGCTCCAGAGTGAACTTTCTTGTGTTGGACCAGGTGGGAGCTACTAATGTAGGCTTTCCCGCATTCACTGCATACATAAGGCCTTGCTCCAGTGTGAACTCTCTGGTGCAGAATGAGGCTGGAGTTGTGACTAAAGCATTTCCCACACTCATTGCACTTGTAAGGCTTTGCTCCAGTGTGAATTCTCTGGTGTACAATAAGGTTAGAACTATGTCTAAATAATTTTCCACACTCACCACACTCATAAGGTCTTTCTCCAGTGTGGATTTTCTGATGCTTTACAAGTGTATCTTTACGATTGAAAGCCTTCCCACACTGACTGCACTCGTAAGGCCTTGCACCAGTGTGAATGATTTGATGCTGAACAAGTGTGTCTTTGCAGCTGAAGGCTTTCCCACATTTGCTGCAGACAAAAGCCCTTGCTCCTGTGTGAACTCTCTGGTGTTTAAGGAGGCTGGATTTATGGCTAAAGAACTTCCCACATTCAATGCATTCATAAGGCCTTGCCCCAGTATGAATTCTCCAGTGCTCAATAAGATGGGAGCTTTGGCTAAAGAATTTCCCACATTCACTGCACTCATAAGGCCTTTCTCCAGTGTGAAATCTCTGGTGTTGAACAAGTGTGTCTTTACGACTGAAGGCTTTGCTACATTCACTGCACTTAAAGGGCCTTTCTCCTGTGTGGACTCTCTGGTGTTGAACAAGTGTATCTTTGCGGCTGAATGTCTTCCCACATTCACTGCATGTGTAGTATCTTTTTCCATTGTGAAATTTCTGATGCATTTTTAGGTAGGACAGGTGAGTGAAGGCCTTTCCACATTCCTTACACACATGAGATTTTTCTCCACTGTGAATTTTATTGTCACTAAAAAGAGCAGGCTTCTCTTTGAGCACATTTCCACCTGGTAGACATCTATAGTGTTTCCCCTCAGAATGAGTTATCTGGTGGTCAAGGAGATTAAAGGTGTTCAGGAAGGTCTTCCCATCATCACTGTAATTTACATTCATTTGTCCACCATGATGGTCTTGATGTCTTCTGAGACTGGAGCTGTGTGGGAGAGAATCTACGTGCTCAGTTCTTTTATGAGGACTCACCACATTGTGTGTGGTCAGCTGCTGGAAGAGGCCACAGCTGTCTGGCATGTCAACGCTTTCTTCCCTGCATGTACAGGGTGTCCCTACCCTATGTCCTGTACAGCTCTTCACACATGAGGTCCCTCCATCATCCCCTCTCAAGGGATTCTCTCCACAATGACACTGCTGGTGCTGGGGAAATGTCACACTGATGGAGAATCCTCTCCCACACAACCCACATCTGTGCAGTTTCTCCATAGGATATGATTTCTGGTGTTCAGCCAGGTACAAAATGTCTTTCAAGAGTGGGTCATACATCTGACATGGGTGGGCTTTCAGGGTCAATAGACCTAACTCAGTAGTTCTGGTCTGTGGCATTCCTTCCATGGAAATGCTCTGCTCAGAAAGTGCCTCCTCATTATCTGTTTCACACCAACAACCTGAAAGCAATGACATTCTGGTAAGGAGCATTTTGGCTTTGGTGAGAAGCAGCAGACTCATCACAATGAAGCATTGTAGTGACAGGAGCTGGTGATGTAGCTTAGTGAAAGCACATAGCTAGCATGTGCAAGGCCCTGGGTTCAATCCCCAAAACCACAAGAAAGCAAATCTCAAGAAGCATCAGCTGAGTATGGTGGTGTATGCCTATAATCCCAACATTAGGGAGGCTAGGACAGGAGGATTGTGATTTTGAGGCAAGTCTGAGCTACACAGTGAGACTCTGTCTCAAAAAATCAAAACAAAACAAACAAAAACTGTGTACAACTCATAACACATTAGATCAGCCAGTGCTGGAGAGCACTGCAAAGGAGCTAAGGACAGTAAGACCTGGAGGCCAAAATGGTAGAGATGGTCAGGGGAGAGAATGACATGTGGGTAAAATGTTGAGATGGAGTAGGAAGAGAAATGAGGTAGCACAATGGGCCTTGGGAACAAAACCCTGCTGAATACAAAACAGGATGACTGATCAAACACAATCCCAAACACAACACCTCCCCCAGCTCCCAGTCAGCAGGCCAGGCCTTCACCAGTCATCCATTACTGTGGCTAAAGTAATGTCTGTCAGACACCTGGCCTTTCTGTCCCTCTACAACTGGACAATGATGACACCGAATCTGGAAGAGGAAAGTCTGAAGACAACAAAGTCTGAGTGTCTGAGTGACTGACCAGGTAGGCCCACACCAGAGAGAAACCAAAATATTAGAAATACTAGAAAATAAAAAGGAGAGCCTGTGAGTGGTGATGCACTTCTGCTCAGAAGCCAGACATCAGGAGGATTATGGTCAGAGGACAGCCTGGGCAAAAAGTTAGTGAGAACCCCACCTCAACCAACAGGCTGGGTGTGATGGTATGGACCTGTTATCCCAGCTACAGGGGAGGCATAGGTAAGAGGTTTGAAGTCTGAGGCCAGCCCCAAGGAAAACTATATGAAAAATCACTAAGCAAAAAAAGCAAAAAAGACTGGAGATGTGGCTCAAGTAGTAGAGAACCTGCTAGCAAGTACAAGGCTCTGAGTTCAAACCCCAGTACTGCCAAAACAAACAAATCAGAAAAAGAACCCCCTAAGAAGGGCTTGGATTTTGCAGAATAGTCTTAGATCGCATTAGTACCTCCAATTCTGGGCAGAGTGTTCTGGAAAAACCTGTTCCCAGTAGGTGAGAACAGTGTCGTAGATGCTGTGACACTGAAGACAAAGGCAGGAAAAGTGCAATTTATTAGCAACTTACTGAAAGAAAGACAAAGATGGTAGCAAAACCAGATGTACTGGTCAGGAATAGAGTGACTTCATCCACCCAGCATCTACCTGACTTATCTCAAGCTCCTATCAAGGACCTCAGCCACATTCCTGATACTGACAACACCAGGGTCACAACGCTCCACCTACCAAGTGAATGGTTTTCTTTGTATATAGGATTCTGGGAAATTATCTGGCGAAAATCAAGTCAGGGATATTCTGACTCTTACAATCTCACATGCCTCCTGCAATGTGCTATGCCTGTAAGGGTCTGAGCACTGTATAGGTGCATGACAATGGCCATTTGTGTAGAGTGTAAGCAGAGTCTAGCAACAGCAGAGGCACATGCACAACAAGAAAATAACTATGTAAATTACAGTAACAATTTTTTCCACCAAGAGCTCCAGGAAGTAAATCAATAGCCTAATTTACAACCTATGGAAGGGAAAGATTAAAGCATTAATTTAGGCTTGATAATACCATAGGTTCCAGACACTTGGGTTCCCCCTGCTGGACCCATCTGTACACCAAGTATTTTCAGGTGCAGGAATTGCCCCTTCTGGACTTGTGAGATCACCAGGGATGGTAACGCAGTATCACAGATAACCAGACCTAACATGTTCTGCAGCTTGAGAGTCAATAAGCTACTGGAGAGGACACTACATTTTTGTAAACATCCAACACATGACTGAGGCTGCTGAACAGGACATCTACACATCTTTACAGCAGAATCAGTTGGTGACTCCACCTGTAGTAAAACACTTCAAGAAAGTGCTGTTGGCTATCAAAATCTTGACGTTTCAAATGCTTTCTTCTGGGGAACAGTTCTTAATCAGCCAATAATGGGAATCAGCTTGAGCTAGATGAAGAATGAAAGCCTGCCAATAAACCTATACATCCTTCACCATATGGGGGTGAGGAAGGTTGGCACTTTATCTAACACTATGCCTAGAGTCAAATAGGTCTTATCCTGACTACCAGGCCACTCTACGAACTTCTCAGATGGTCCAAGGTCCTGAATCTTATTGGGGTTGACAGCCCATTCCCAAATAAATGAGCACACAGATGTTCTACTGTGTCCTGCAAGAGTGTAATCATTACCAGTAAGCATGATATCATCAATATCATCAATGGAACTAGGCAAAAGCAGTAGGAAGAGAACAGTGAGGTCCCAAGTCATCTTTCCCTGACACAGCAGGATTGTGTAGATACCCCTAATACAGTACCTGGAATGTCCATGCTCTTCCCTCTCAAGTGAAGGTGCACTGGCTTGTGGGTCCATTTGTAAGTAAAGCTAAAAACAGCATTAGTTATGTCCAAGACAGCATGCACAAAGCCAAAGGAGAATGTATTTTTCCAGTACCTGAGTGATGCTAGGTGCCACAACATGGATGACAGGGCCCACCTTACTTAACACCCTATAGTTGACAGTCACTCTCCATCGTATCTGCCTTTTTAATGATAGGACTAGCGAAAGCACTGTGAGTAGCTCATAAAATTTCAACTTACATTTCGTATATGGTTTCTCTAGTCTCAGCATGTCCATCTGGCAATCTGAACTTTCAGGATGGGAAGACTAACAGGATCATTTGGCCTCCTCAATACTGCCTTTACTACCTGAACTATGAGTTGAAATTCCCCCACCAGGGTCTATAATATCGTTCCAAATACAACAGGCATCCAATTTTTAGGAAGATTATACAGAAAGATTACTACCAATATGGAGTAGGGGTGCTCTCCCAATTCCAGGACACAATAATACTTGTTTCATGATGGTGTTCTTACCCCCATATCCATCAATAAGTGTCCAAGGTCCCTGGAAAACTTTCTGAGTTTCTTGGGCTAGCATGCATTTAACACCTGCATCTGCCAGAGTGATGGTTTTCCCCTTACTCTTGGGGACAGTAAATAATGAGTGTGACATAAGACCCCAGTCACTCCCACCCTCCTTCCTTAGCAGAGTGGGATAAGAGGCACTCACAAACAGCTGCTCCAAACCCAGCAGTGCTTTTGCCCTGTGTTCATGAAGTGGGCTACAAGCATCTAACATACAGGCCACCTTTCCCACATGGAGCTAGATGGTCAGCCCAAAACTCCTCTGGAGAAGCTTCCTTCCTCTTGCCAATTTCCCTGATCTCCTGGCTGGTTGACCAACTGTAATGAGAAAACCCAGTCACAGTGTCGGAGAACTAGCCAGAAGGTTCTTGAGAACAAAGAAAGATATGGACATAACAGGAATTTCAGAGTGCAATATATGGGGGGACTTCATTAGAGCAGTGAGCCTTCTGAATCCCTGCAATGTGGGTTTGAAGGCTTATAAGAGTGATCATGACAAAGACAACTCTATCCAAGCCAGAATCCACCTGATTAACATTCTTCTAATATCAAAAACCCCAGTCACATTCTTGGCACTGATAGTGCCAGGATCAGACCATAATGCTCTACCCCATGTGCTCCACAATGGTTTTATTTGTTTTAAGGATTTCTAGGAAAGGGAAGTAATGCAAATGAAAAAGATCAGGTCTATGCAGTGGCAACCATGGTGGCTGTGCCTGAGAATGGATGTGGCCAGTCACACAGAATGGATGTGACACACAGTCACATGGAGTAAACATCGGCTTGAGAAGGGAGCACAGCCTGCGAAACGGAAGTGTCAGGTATTGGAAGAGAAACATAGCCAGTGAGTACTCCAGGTATGTAGAATCAATTGAAAAGATGGGAAAAACTCTGAATCCCTAACTATTTCCTCCAACCTTTGAAGGGGTATGTGTTAGGACTACTTGGGAAGACAAGGGGACACTACACACAGTCCAGCCTAGACACATACTACCTATGCAGGGAACTCAAGAAAGGAGGGAGAATTGGGGTTATAACTGAGTGTCAGCATGCAAAAGGACCTGGAAAAGAGAGAGAGACAGAGACAGAGAGATAGAAGACAAAAGAGAAGAGTCACAGATCTGGCAACATAAAAAGAGCTATTTCTGGGACATGATAAAATCCCACAAAGGACAATGGTGTGGTTAGAAGACCTGTGGATGGCAGCCACAAAGATGGTCTCCAGAGATCCCTCCCACCTGCTACTCTGGCCCTCCTGTCAGCCTCTTCCCTTCATTATAAGATGGACTTACTGACTCATTTCTCAGAAAGAGAATGTGGCAAAACTGATGGAATGGTCTTGGGGGTGGCTCAAGTGGTAGAACATTCACCTAGCAAGCTCAAGGCCCTGAGTTCACCATAATACCATCAAAAAGGAAAAAAAAAAAGTGGGGTTGGTAGAGTGGCTCAAGTGGTAGAGTGCCTGTTTAGCAAGTGTGAAGCCCTGAGTTCAAACTCCAGTACCACCAAAAAAAATTTTTTTAAAGTGATGAAAGTGTCACTTTCAAGATCACGGTATCTTGGCATTCACCCTGAGCACTATCTCTTGCTCACTTGCTCAGCCAGAACTCAGCTTTCAACTTATGAGGTACATCAGAGAAAGGAAAACATAATTAGGAGCTGAGAGAGGCCTCTGGACAACAGGCAACAAGGAAATTATACTCCCAGTTTAAGCTTAGTAGTGGACTCTTCCAAGACTGGCCTTCAAATGGCACCACAGCTCTGATGACAGCTTGACTGAAACCTCATGAACGTCTGAGCCAAGAGCACACACATAAGCTGCGGTCAGAACCCTAAGGCAGTGAAACTGAGACATAATGCCTTTTAGTGTTTTAAGTCATTAACTTTGGGGATAACTTGGGATGCAGCAATGACTCAAATAGACTTACCTAGTGTGGTCACAAGTGCAAAGTTTTCCAGCATCACATCAAGGTACAGGAATCTCTGAGTTTCCTCAAGGAGTTCCCACTCTTCCCAGGAGAAATACACGAACACATCTTCGAAGTTCACATAGCCCTAGCATGACAGGGACAGTTGAGCCCACAGACCACATCTTCCAAAGACACCGCATCCCAGGCTATTCAGTCATACATACTCAGCCATTGGTCCCACTTCTCCTCAGGTCTCCCAACATGCCTTGGCACCACTAGTGTCTGCTCTCTCCCCAACAGTCTCACCATTGTATCCAGCACAGAACAAAATCAGGTAAGTGTGCAGAGATGCTGAAGGATCCTGAAAACTCTCAAGCTTAATACGTCCTTCCCGTCCTCATTCCATTGGTTGGCAGTAATAGGAACCTCTCTACATAGCTCTTGGACGGGATTCAAGACACTTACCTATAATTGCCCCACTTCAGGGCCCACAGACACAAGCACAGAGAGTAAGATACTCATGAACCCAAGGATATCAAGGCCTCCTCTGAAAATTTGGTGAGGCTACTTAAACACATAAAAAACAAAGGTTTTTCCCTTAACTCACTGTTCTGTACAAAGCACCTGTCCACGCTGGCTCTGGTGCCTTGGAAACCCATCCATGTCTCACGTCGTTGATCCTGAGAATAGGACTGTCACCCTCCCACATACACACGGTTGTAAACTCGGGAGGAGGCGAAGAGGGTCCGGGGTCCAGGACACCGCAATCTCCACGTGCGAGTGAGGGCCTGAGGGAACCTCTACTCACCTGAGCCGGGTCCATCAGCGCAGTCGCCGACGTGTGCGAATCTGGGTCGCCGCAGGGCACGGCGGGCCCGGCGGGCCCGGCGCGGGGTGAACCCGGGATGGCGGTCGCACTGGACGCCCGGGCCTGCCGGGTGGGGAAACGGCACCGGATCCAGACGCGACGAGGACGGCGGGTGCCTAGGGCTCGGGAAGGCCGCAGGTCCGCCGCGCTAGGCCGCCCGGTCCAGCACGGACGTCATGGGCCGTCACACAAGCGCGGAGGACAGTCCTGGGCTCCCCGGTTAGATTCCACAGATCAAACTCCAAACCGTCACAGCCTGAGGGCACTTCCGGCGCAGGCTTACGTCACAATGGCCGCGCCGGAAACCCTGCCATGTACAACACACACGCAGTAATGGGTGATGTAGTTCCTACCCTGCGTCTAGGCAGGTTAGGCAAATACCAAGGGGCGCCATGCCAAGGCCTGGAGGGAAGGAAGGGTGGAGGAGGAAGTGTCTTAGAGCGCCAAACTCCCCTCACACGGGGCGCACTCAGATTTCCTGGTCACTTGGAACAATGCCAGTCTTCAAAAGTCTCCAACAGGTGAATCATATTTCATCTTTCTGCTCCCATCTGACCTACGGATTGTGACCAAGAAACGCTAGGTTGGGGGGGCCTAGCTCAAGTTTGGGAACTGGACCTCCTTTTTAAAGTCACTAGAAAATAAAGTCCAGTAACTAAATGGAAAAATATCTACAACCTACTTCCAGGAAAGTGAATTGAAATATCCTTAGCACAGAACCTGGCACATAGTCCTACATACAGGAAGGCTGTTATTATTTGTCATCATCTGAAGATACTTCCATAGGAGGACGGTAGAGACTCCTCTTTGCAGTCACTGCTCATAATCTTTAAAACACAAATACAATCACTCCCAGACTTAGCAAGTAACACCATGGATAATAAATTTTGCATTAAAGCACACCTGTACATCTTTTGGCTCATTTAATTATTTATTTAAAAAAATAAACGTGCAACAGAGTTTCATAAAGTAAAGTAGGTCTCTCCTCCAAAGGATATTCTTACAGGCCATGTGACTCAAACCATGGACAACCAAGGCTAATTGCACTTAGGCTTAAGTGGACAATGTAGTTAACCTGGTTTCATATGATGAGTCATTTAATGATACATGTTTAATTCACAGGATCAATGACTCAAACCCCTTTCCCTCTGGCTTACAGGGCAGGCTGACACTTCACCTCAGGATTGCCACGTATGTTCCTCCTTCGCATCCAGACACCATCTTCTCATCCCCTGCACATGAAGCACCCAAGACAGCACTAAATCCTAGTAATACTGAGACCCTAGAAACTGATCTCAAGAAGAAGGACTTAATGAGAAGTGATAATGAAAAAACATCCTCCAAATCATTCCTATTCATATTTCGCTGGCCCAGAGTTATTTGTATTGTCTCAGAGTGTAAGAGAAGATGGGATGTGCTATTCTCCTGAGTTACCAGAGGAAGAAAATGACTTTGATGGACATCTGGCCAGATTCTATCATAATTCATCAATTTGACCAACAGACACCCTCTTTATTATTATTCACTATCTAAGTTCTACACTCTTACACCTTCATTAGTGTGTCAACCAAATAAATAACTAGTCATTCAGTGCATCTGAATGTCAAGATCTCTGGGTGATGTCTTCTAAAACTCATACTAAAATATTTCTTTCTCAAAGCTTAGAATGACATAGATAATGCATATATAGATGAAATATATCACATATACAATTATAGTTTGACATATATCAACTACAACTATATATATATATATATAGTTTAGGCATATATAAATTTCTGTGTGAGAAACACAATGGAACAACACAATGAAACAGTTAAAGAAAAAACAGCAACTGATTTCTATATTCAATAAATGCATCATCCAAGGAAGGGAATGAAGTAAAAACTATGTGAGACCAAAAGTGAGAAATTTAAAAGAAAAAATAACTGATGTAATACTTTAAAGATTTTATTTAAAGTTTGAAGAAAGTGATCCCAGGTGAATAATATGTAATGACAGATTGAATAAGAATCTGAGAGTGGAGTGCAAAAGCAGATTAATCTAACCCTCTTATCTACAAAAGTGTTACTTCCTTCTGAGTCCAAATGATGGAATTATCCTGCACACATCCTCAACAGCACATATGCTGAGGTGAACACATTAATGTTTAAATACATCATGCTTTCTCAGACAGCAAAAAATATTAGTAACTACAATGGGTTAAAATATTATAACTTTAATCTTAAACACTAATAAACAGAAGGAATGTAAAAGCCTTATACATTTGAAGAGAGATGAAATGTAATAAAAACCAGCCAAGTGTTTTTACATAGTAAGTGGGCATGACTAGGGCAAAGAAAAGCATACACACACCCCAAGGATGAATTCAAACCCAAACATAACAAGTATCTCTTGAAATGTGTATAGAGTAGGTGCTCAAATGAGCAGTCAGTAATTTTAATGTGTTGAAAATTTCTAACAATCTTACAGATAAAACAGACACGTCTCAAATATAACATTACAGAAGTATCTGGTGGAAGGAAAGTTTAGGGAAAATAAACTCACTACAATTATTAAAATATTTAGACAAGAATTAACATGTAAAAATAAGTATTTACACCAGAAAATAGCAAAAAACCCAGGAAAACAGAGCAAGATAGTGTATTCTAAATTGTGTATGTAATGTCTATGACACAAATTACATGAAGAAATGGTTTCATAGCAAAAGAATGAAAAGATTAATCTAGATATAAGGAGCATTTTAATATCAGCCATCTCGGTAATTAGTAGAAAGAGCCAATATAAAACTGTTAAAAGTTCTAGTAAATTCCCACGCCAGAACTGATAACACTTGCCTGATAGGTATGCATGCATACAAATACAGGATGCTTATATTTAGTAAGACTGAATTGTATAGAGCTGAACATGACAATAGGAGTACCATCTTCAATTTGTATAGGATGAAGTGACGTAGGAAGCAATCAATGTATCAATCAACAACAGAAATATATGGAATATACAAAAAAAAATCTGCTATGAAATACTCAACAGCCCAGGCAGCGTGAAGGCAAACTGTGTAATTTATTTTGCTGAATAATCATTTTATCTGAGAGTAATGGTGAATTCATTATTATGAATAAATATATACATCTCAGAATACTGTATTAAATCTTTGGCAAAAATATCACACTAGAAAAATTATTTCATACACATAAATTTCAACCAGGCAATATACGTATCTTATTAGGACTGAGCCTGTAGCTCAGTAGTATAAAAGTTGCCTACCATATGTGAGGCCATGAATCTATCCAACATGGGAGAAAAGAAAAAAACAAACTATTTAGGACTAGGGAAATACTTAACTGATAAGAGTGCTTGTCGACCTGCAGGATGCACTGGGTACGATTCTCAGACAACAATTAAAAAGTAAAAACAAATTTTTTAGGGATTAGGAGTATAGGTCAGTCATACAGCAATGGCCTAGCATATGGGAAGCCATGAGTTAGATCCCAAGCATTGCCAAAATAACAATAAAAACCAAGAATATATATAATTGGTGATACACAGATGCCAAACTATACGTTAAAAAAGAGAAAGAGTAAAGTAAAATTCTGCATAAAAGTACTCTCTGAATTGTAATATAAGAGTATCCTTTTGTGAAATTCAAAATCAAATTCTAATGTTGCTATGTGCTATTTTTTTAGTTGTGGAGTGTTGCATTGATATTTATATGTTAAGATTTATCTTTTTGGCCTGTTTGTTCATGTGAATTTCAATAAACTAAAATGTACAAATCTTGAGTGCAGGACTTTGAAGAAATTTTATATTATTGATCTCCATATAATCCCCATTCATACAAAAATGCAGAAAACTTACAGCATCCCCCACCTACTTAGTTCTCATGTATTCTTTCACTTATCTATGGAAATCTATAGCATATACTCCTTTGTGTCTGACTGACATCACTGTTATTCAGTGTCCTCATCTATGACATTCATTGGTGGTGTTGCAATGAAGCAGTGGTTTTAATTGCAATACTTTAGTTTTGTGACTATGTCATTTAAAAATATCTGATTGAGGGGCTGGCAGAGTGGTTCAAGTGGTAGAGCACCTGCCTAGCAAGCATGAGGTCCTGAGTTCAAATCCCAGTACCACAAAAAAATCACATTGATGATTGGGTGAGTGGTTTCAAGTTCTGGGTTATCAGAATATAAAATTGTTTAAACCTCCATGTGCATATATTATGGAGAAAATGCCTTTATTTCTACCCAGTGTACACCAGGAAGTAGATTATTGGTAATATCAATATGGTGAGTTTTACTATTAAAGAGCATTAATGAAAGTATTCAATGAGAATCAATTACCTATGTGGATTATATGAGGACATTGTATACAGTATTATGATCATTTATACAATTTGTGATATGTATCCTTTACATAGTATACTTTATAATTTACTGATTTACAATGCATATTGGTACCAATATGATTATCTGTATTAAGAAACACCTGTATTGATATGTTTGCATGTGAGATCTATTGCATGTAAGTTGATCTGTGGGTAAGTGTATCTATACACTACAACCATTTATACATCTGCATCCATGAATTACTCTGTCAATGTGCTCACCTTTGGATTTATACATGCACACTTCTCTCAATATACATTTTTCTGTTATGTTTGAGATCAATGGGTTAATCTATTCATGTGTCCAGGAGCTATTTGTATTGTGTGTTTGCTTGTGCCAATGGGTGCACATCCCTGTGAGCACTGTTGCTGGTATGTATGGAACTTTTAAGTGTCTGGGTGTCCTGTACCTGTGATCATGAATCTACACCCATAAAATATACCTCCTCTACCTTTGGTTTATGTGTTATTACATATCTGTATGTCTGCGTAGGATTTTGTGCCTCTGTGTGCGTGAGTGTGCACATCTATTTATAGACTTATGGGATTCCTGTAAGGTGTTATATATTCTGAGCTGGCCTGGGTAAATTCCATGTATGCCCTGTTCATCTACCTCTGAGTTACATGACCAGTGTGTCCATACTATATCCAGTTCTTTTTTCTCTAGTCCCATCACCCTAAACCGAGGGGCTATCTGACTGCCCCTCTGGCTCTCCCTGAAGTCCTGTATACATGAGCGTCTCCACTGGGATATCAGTGTCTCTTGCATGCTTAAGATTTCACCTCCTTTGGTCTGCATATGTTTCAAGTGGTAGAATACCTGCCTAGGAAGCACAAGGCTGTGAGTTCAAACCCCAGTACTACCATAAAAACAAAACCCATATCTTTGCCTTTCAGCTAAGATCACTATAGATTTCACCTCCAAGAAGCCTGTCTGACCAGCAACTCAGCTGGGCTAATAAAGTCCCCGGCTCTGCCCTCAGATATCCCCACAGTGACCTTTAATGCCCCAGGGATACTCTGCCTAGGGCCAGTCACTTTAGTTTATAGCTACACAATCTTGGGAAAGTAAACAATGAGATTCCTTATCCATGTTTGCTTTTACGGTCTATCATGAATTTGACTATGTGTTTTATTAGATTTGTTTTAGTCCAAATTTAACCGACGGAGAAAAATTGAAGACTCAGAGAAGACCCTCAAGAGAAGATTTCAAAAGTGAAAGAAAAAAAAAACAGAAGAAAGGATTGGGGCTCACGTGGGAAAAAGAATCAGTAGCCCAAGACTGAGGAAACATCACTGTACAGGATGGTTAAATTGAAAGGAAGAATGTCTTCGTTATTGAGGGGCCGGGGTTGTTTCCCATTTTTAAATCAAACTTTAAAAACTCTCAAATAAAATGACATCAGCAAGATGGCAGAATAGGTAGCTTTGGATTCTCCCTTCACCTATGAGCAGACTGAATAAACAGTTACACAGAAGCACAGTCTTGCCACTGCAGAAAGTGATCCAGTCATAGACAACCATTGGCTGAGCTTTTGTGTAGATGAGCAAGGGCATGGGATTCTGGGTAATGTACTTTAGGCCCTGTATGGGATAACACATCTGTACTTACTGTGTTCTCCATGGCAACAGCAAAGAGGCCTTCTGGGATATAAATACAGTATGGGGAATAAAGTTCCAGTGCTCCAGCTACAGGACTGAGGTTTTACTTGCTCTTGAAAAGAAATATATATACACACACACATACATATATATATATATATATATATATATATATATATACACATATATATATTTGATAAAATTGCACAATCATTGCTTTTAGCACACACTTAGTATAGACAAAACTGACAATACATAAGACCATAAGAAAGCTGTTTAACTTCTATAAAATGAAATAAAAGAGAATGTAATCAGTATAAGGATCAATAATAGAAATACCTGAAAGGTTCTTAGTGTCTTTGCAAAATAAAATCCCATACATTAAGCAAAGATACTCAAAATTGGAGAATATTACCTTTGCAAAATATAATCCCTAGCAGGCCTTATAGTTCCAGCACTTGGGAAGCTGAGGCAGGGGGATCCCAAGTTTGAGGCCAGCCTAGGATACAATAATGTATTCAAGACAGGATACCCTGTCTTGAAAAATAGCACTAATAAAGTAGTAACGATATCCCTAATGACAATTTGATAGGCCTTTTGTGAGTGCTATTATAGGCAGTATTTTCACAAATATAGATATAAATATGTGTGTATGCATTATATATATGTATATTATATTAGATATAGATATAAATATAGATATAGATATGTGTGTATGCATTATATATATGTATATTATATAAAATGCCATCTCTACATATTTTCATGAGATTGTTAATGGATTCTAAAAGAATACCATTTAATGCACTTATCATAAACAAATGATAAGCAGAAATGCATGCATAGCAAAGACCTTTTCAAATAGGATAATTTTTCCAGTAATAAAAAGCATACTATGTTGTCCCATTCATATTAAGCTCACATCAGAAGAAAACACAGTGGCTACTAGCCATGGAACACAAGTAAGGGTCCAACCTGTGAAGAACATTAAGAAAAAAACTCAGCTGAACATTTTCTCAAAAGTAGGATGAAATTTCCAATCCACTTGTGCACAGCATACTAAAAATTTTTTACCCCTTTTAATTTGGGGGTGTGTCTTAGTTTATCTTTTTTATATATGCATACGTCAAACACATTCAGTAGACAAAATCTTCTGTACACAGCTTGAAGACTTCCTACAAGATTCCCTTGTAATCCCTAACCATGCAAAGGGAAAGATTCCCCCACTAGCTTTACAGGCACTAACCTCATATTGCACAAATGTGACCAGCATCCTGTCCTTTATCATGTACAATATATTAGACTTGCCTGGTAATGACCTTGTCAATTCAGTTCTATAGTAAGTGTTTTAAGTCTGACATGTCGTTGTCACTGAAGGATTTATTTGGAGAAGGGACTATAATTTTTAATTATTGATAAATAATGCAATTCTGATTGTCATAAAACCAACACTTAATTCACAATAAGTTCTGGAAGAAACTGCTTTATTCTGGATATTCTAATCACAACCACTGTCATCACTCCTGACTTCAATCAAAGCTCTAGACTCATGAGGCTACCATGCATTCCCTTATATTCCATGGAAATACCAAACCAACTATGTAGTAGAATTTTTCAAAGACAATGATTTTGTTTTTTCAGAAGAAAAAAATTCCACTTTGTTTAATGAGGCAAATAGCAACACCAAAGTTTGGGCAGGTTAAGGCCTGTGTTGGCCTCAAATGGATTATTTTTTTCCCAGGAAATTAATTCATCTTGGTACATGAAAGCACAAGTTTAAGTCTCCATGTTTTCATTCACTTAAGGGCTTCCACAATTTACCTAAGTATCTCATAGATGACTGTCATTTTAATGATTGCCAATTCTTGGTTATTATGAAGTTGTGACACATTTTTGTGTACATGTATTTTAGTGTAAGAGTACCCAAAGTGAAGCCCTCTCTGAATGTTAGTGCTGGCAGTAAATGCTTTGAACTTATCACCTAAGTGTCTGCTGCTCCACTCTTCAGAATTCCAAGGAGCCAAACTTCAGGAGTCTTTGAAGCAGTCTTTTGAGGTTGTGGCCCTGCCAGTATTTTGGTGGCAGCTTCATCTTTAGATCTGGCAAAAGAGAACACTTGTGATTTCAGATACAAAAGTACTTAAAGTATTAGCAAACGACATGAATATACTCTATGACACGGAGGGGTTCATTGCAGCAATGTAAGGCTGGTTCATCTTTCAAAATTCAGTCAGAACAATCCATCATATCAATAGTATATAGAAGAGTTACCTAATTTGAATACCCATTTATAATAAAAAGCTCTCAGCAAGGTACTAATGAACTTTCTAAACTAGATAAAGAACATTTACATAAAAACCTACAACTATCATATTTAATGGTTAATATCAAATGCTTTCCCCCAAATATCAAGAACAAGACAAGTAAATTTTGTCAAGTTACTCATAATATAAGTTATAACTGGTTCAATATAGACACAAAAGGAAATAGGATAGATATAGAATAGGAAAAAGGAAGCAGTAAGGTGTTTTGTATTTGCCAATAATACTATTTTCATGAAGAAAGCTCTCAGTTATTTAAAATACTGCTAGATCTAATAAGAGAGTTTAGCAATCAACATGGAAAAATGATCCCTCTTTAAACTAAAAATATCTTGTGAAAACTCAAATTAGTCTCATTAAACAAATTATGTGTAAAATGGCATGCATAATGCCCCTCAATTTATTCCCAGATAAAAATATAACAAAAAATGTGACTAGCATTTACAAGGAGAAATTTAAATTTATAAAACACTTATAAAATTAATGAAGAGGATCTAAATAAATAGTGACACACCTTGGGTTCACAGACAGGAAAACTCAACACAGTAAAATTCGTCTCAAAATACTCACTGTATATTTTCAGGGCAATTCTATAAAAACCCAAGATGTTTTGTGAATACATTGACAGAATTTACTTGGAAACCCATAATGAAAACATTTGTGTAGAAAACTAATAAACTTTTTAAATAACAAAAAGGGTAGAATCACTTTACTCAATTTCAAAATTTAATAGATAGCTATATTAAAAGACAGCATGATATTAACTAAAGTTTAGACCTCTACCAATAAAATAATATAAAGAACAAGATCAAGCAGGTGCCAGTGGCACATGTCTATAATCCTAGCTTCTCAGGAGGCAGAGATCAGGAGGATCACTGCCCAGGTGATCCAGAAGCCAGCCCAGGCAAACTATCTCAAAAACACCTAACACAAAAAAAGTGCTGGTGGAGTGGCTCAAGGTGTAGGCCCTGAGTTCAAGCCACAGTATTGAAAAAATAAAAATAAAAAAACAAGATCAAGGACTGGGTGTTAGCTCAAGTGGAAGAGTGCTTTCCTGGCAAATGCAATGCCCTGAGTTCAAACTCCGTAATACTCCCCTGAAAAAAATCACAAGATAACACAGAGATAGACCAAAATCAGTATGCCCCCACTGACTTTAGACTAAGAGGAAAAACGATTAGTAAGGTTGGATGGCCTCTGGGATAAATGTGTTAGAACGAGTAAACATTCATAAGCTAAGCAACAACAACAGAGACTCAACCTCAGCCCCATATGGTAATATAAAAATTAATATGGATCAGAGATTCAAATGTAAAAGTTAAACTATAAAGCTTTTAAATATAGGAGAAAATATTCAGGACCTAAGCCTCGGTGAAGAGTTCTAAGACATGACATGAAAAGGACAAAGTGCCTTACAATAATGACATGGATCAATGCCACAAAAACAACTTTCCCCTCAATGACAATGTTAAACTATACATGTAGTCATTCAAAAGGCTCTGCGAAGAATTCAACATGAATACATAATCATTCTCATAGCTTTCTTTACAATAAATTTTTAACAGGAGGTAATATTATGACATGTAATTCAAACACTAGGCTCCAAAAAACACCAAAGGAGAAATTCCAAAATACCCTGACTATATTAGGTTTCCATCACTATAACAAAATACCTGAAACAATCAACTTGTAAAGGTAAAGGTTTATTTTGGCTCAGTTTTGGAAGTGCCACCCCATGATTGGCTGGCCCTGTGGTTTTTTGTCCTGTTGAGAGGCACACAGCATGATGGGAACATGTGGCAAAGAAAAGCCACTCACCAGATTATGAGGCATAAAGCAATACAGTGAGCAAGGCAGCACCCAGGGCCAGACGGTCTACTTCAAGCAATGCACACAGTTATTTAGAGACTTCCTACAACACTCATCTCTTAAAAGTTTCACCACCACTGAATAGCAACTACCTCAGGACAAACCTTTACAACAGGAGTTGTTGAAAGGCACTTCAGACCCAAACTACAACAGTGACAAGAGCATTAACTGTTCAGTCTTTGTGAGCAGGCCAGTGGTAACGATTGTAAAATGACAAACTCTTGTACATGCACAGACAGAATCACCTGTTAAAGTTACATTTGCAGTACAGTGAATCTCACACACTCTTTTATAGGATTAAAAATGATATTCGTTCTCCATGTTTATTTTTCTGAGTTTATCCTGAAACTTTAATTTAGTTTAGCTACATTTAATTGTTTTGGCTCTTATTCAAACTCTAGAAATTTGTTCAGGTAGGAAAATTGTTGGAATCTGCCTACCATGTTCAATCCACAGGGCCACAGAAAGACGGGAAAAGGAAAAAGGAAATTCCTGAGATCAACCTGTAGGAAACTGTAGAAAGCCTATTTAAGGAGTGGTAAAGAAGATGAGAGGTCAATCAGAGGGAAGAATTAGGACTCACATGGATTATGCTTCACAGAGTCATACCAGCATAACCTTGCCCACAGGAAACAAAAAGAAAAAACAAGCAAAAAGATTGAGAACAAGTACAAGCATGAGTGTCAGGTGCTTAAAAATGGTTTGATGTTAAAAACAAAGAATCCTAACTGCATTCATATGTAAAACTGTGTATTCTTAAATATAAAAGTATTTTATAACTCAAGTCTCCACGTTTCTTCTAATAGACTATTGATCCTGATCAAGAGTAGAACAAAGACTGAAGAACAAAAAAGGCTTTCAGTAAATGTCTTCAAATATTCCCCCATTTGTCTAACCATCCTGACACTGCACAGCAATGAATACACAAAAAAAAAAAAAAGAGCACAAGGCCCTTTGTTTCAGAAGCAACACCCACTCTCCCCAAAGAGTGGCTGTCACAGTCATCTAAAAGCCATGCTTTCATGTCTTTCTTTTTTCTGTATCTCCTCCTCCTTCTAAAAGCTATCCCTGAGAAGAAAGATATGCCTAAGGTTTTTGTGTGAGTACTGTAATACTTGACCTCTCGTACAGATGAATTCTCAGACGTACAAGACAATAGGCTGGGTCAATTTCAAACATGACTCTTAAAAAGACAAGTGACAATTTAGAAAATCTTTTCACAGAAAGATGATGCAAATGGAGATTTTCTTAAAATATATATGGGCAGAGGCTCAAAGAGACGTTTCCTCTGCCCACAGATTCTCTATTATTTATATTCAAAATTTTTTTCAATAATAGAAGTTCTTACGTGTCAACTGAAGTTTGCTCACTATAAAAGGCCTCACCTCATCTGTTTCCCTGATAGTGTTTCTGAAGAATGAACTTTTTGATGTTGATGGAGGCATGTCTTATAAACAAAGGCCTTTCCACATTCTTTGCACTCATAAGGTCTTGCTCCAGTGTGAACTTTCTTGTGTTGGACAAGGTGGGAGCTACTAGTGTAGGTTTTCCCACATTCACTGCACACAAAGGGCCTTGCTCCAGTGTGAACTCTCTTGTGTACGGTGAGGCTTGAATTATAGGCAAAGTGTTTCCCACATTCATTGCACTCATAAGGCTTTGATTTGGTATGAACTCTCTGATGTGCAATAAGGTTGGACTGATATCTACATAACTTTCCACATTCACCACACTCATAAGGCATTTCACCACTGTGGATTTTCTGATGCTTGGCAAGTGAACCTTTATGGTTAAAGGCCTTCCCACACTGACTGCATGAATAAGGCCTTGCGTCAGTGTGAATGATCTGATGCTGAATAAGGATATCTTTGAAGCTAAAGGCTTTCCCACATTTGTTACATTTGTAAGACCTTGTCCCTGTATGAACTCTCTGATGTTTAAGGAGGCTAGATTTACGACTGAAGGATTTCCCACATTCAGTGCATCCAAAAGGTCTTGCCCCAGTATGAATCCTCTTGTGCTCATTAAGGTAGGAACTTTGGCTAAAGGATTTCCCACATTCACTACACTTGTAAGGCCTTTCTCCGGAATGAAATCTTTGGTGGTGAGCAAATGTGTCACGATGGCTGAAGGTTTTCCCACATTCACTGCATTTAAAGGGCCTTTCTCCTGTGTGAATTCTGTGGTGCTCAATAAGCTTATCTCTGCGGTTGAAGGTCTTCCCACATGCACTGCATTTAAAGGGCTTTTCTCCGGTGTGGACTCTCTGGTGTTGAACAAGTGTATGTTTGCAGCTGAACGTCCTTCCACATTCACAGCATGTGTAACATGTTTCTCCAGTGTGATATTTCTGGTGCATTTTTAGGAGGGACAGGTGAGTGAAGGCCTTTCCACATTCCTTACACACATGAGACTTTTCTCCACTGTGAATTTTACTGTCACTAAAAAGAGAAGACTTCCCCTTGAGTACATTTCCACCTGGTAGGCATCTATAGTGTTTCAACTTAGAATGAGTTATCTGGTGGTCAAGATGAGGAAAGGTGTTCAGGAATATTTTCCCATCATCACTGTAATTCGCATTAATTTGCCCACCATGGTCTCCTTGCTGTTTCCAGAGACTGGAGCTGTGTGGGAGAGAATCTATGTGCTCAGTTCTTTTATGAGGACTCACCACATTGTGTGTGGTCAGCTGCTGGAAGAGGCCATGGCTGTCTGGCATGTCCACGCTTTCTTCCTTGCATGTATAAGGTGTCTCTAACCTGTGGCCTGTATAGCTCTTCACAAATGAGGTCCTTCCATCATTCCCTCTGAAGAGATTCCCTCCACATTTCTTTTGGTGCTGGGGAAATGCTGCACTCACAGAGAATCCTCTCCTACATAACTCAATACATCTGTGCAGTTTCTCCATAGGATATGATTTCTGGTGTTCAGCCAGGTACAAAATGTCTTTCAAGAGTGGGTCACACATCTCATGTTGTTGGGTGTTCTGGATCAATAGACCTGACTCTTTAGCTATGGTCTGTGACACTTCTTCCATGGAAATGCTCTGCTCAGAAAGTGCCTCCTCATTATCTGTTTCACACCAACAACCTGGAAACAAAGACATTCTAGTGAGGAGCATTTCAACTTTGGTGAGAAGCAGCAGTCTCATCACTATTAGTTTGTTGGAATGACAAGTGAGCCAGGTCAGTACAGGGGCCACTACACATCATAGAATGGAGTATCCCTAAGGATACATAGAAGACTCCTAATTTACTCCTGTGCAAAAGGATTTCAGTATGGCATTGTGCTCTATGCACAAGGGTGTGTGCAGTTCTCCAAAAAATGTGACTCCAAGCAAGTAGCTGTTTCTCAAGGATTTCCAAGTACACAATTCATCATGTTAAGGAAGCATTTTTCTAAGCACTACATAGGAAGCAGAGGACAGAAAGAGAGATATGAAGGTCAAAAAGGTGAGGAAATGGCCAAGGGATGGAAGACAGGAAAAAAATGACTAGTGAGCAAGGTGATAAGAATTAGGTAAAGGATAAATGAAGTATCATTCTGGTCCTTGGCAACAAAACATGGCTGGACAGAAAAAGGATGACTGTTTGATTTGAATCCAGTACTAACACCATACCTCCCCCAACTCCCATTTACTCAGCCAGGCCTTCACCAGGCCTCCCTTACTGTGGCCAAAGTAATCTCTGTCAGACCCCAGAGCTTTCTACCCTTCTCCAACTAGGCAATGACATGGAAGCTAGAGGAAGAAAGTCTGAGGAAAACGAAAGGCAAGTGAGTCATCCAGGTGGCATATACTAGAGAAGAAAAAACAACATATTGAAGAAAAAAATTCCCAGCAGAGATTTTGCAGAGCAGCCCCAAGTCCGCGTTAGTATCTCTAATTTCAGGCCAACTCAGGCTCTTGTCAATATCAGTGAGAGGGTGAATAAGGTCCAGTGAGTGTCTAGCCTGTGTAGAATGCATACAGTGACTGAGAACCTGCCAGCTACTTCTTGCAAGGATTTGGGGAAGTGGGTGGTTAATCTATGCTCTGCAAGCAAGAGGACACTGCTCAAAGCAAGGAAGAGAACACTGCTCAAAGCACAACCCGGAAAGTAGCAGCCACTCTGGATACTTGAGAAGGAAAAGAGGCACAGATCTGGCTGGGCAGAAAGAAAAGTACCTAAGAGACAATCAAACTCATCAAGCACACTGGGATAGGAGGAAAGGCCTGTAGTCTCATAGATGGCCATGAGCAACTCCTCTTGCCTGTTACTCTGATCCTCATGTCAGCCTCTTTCTTTCTTTACAGGATTGACTGACTGACTGCTTCAATTATAAGGAAGAGGATGGGACAAAATTGATAGAATGTCACTTAAGAGATCATGATACTATCTTGGTTTCCACTCTGGGCACTATCCCTTGCTCACTTGCTCAAATATAAGTAACTTCCATGTTATGAGGTACACAAAGAGAGGCCTCTATCTAACACCCAGAAGGAAATAATGCTCTCACTCAAGCTTGGGATTGGACTCTTCCCATGACTGGCCTTCAAATGATACCACAGTTTTGATGACAGATTGACTGAAACCTCATGAGAGACTCTGAGCCAAGAGCATACACATGAGCTGTGATCAGAACCCTAAGGCAGTGAAAATGAGACAGATACCTTTTAGTGTTTTAAGCCATTAAATTTGAGGATAATTTGTCATGCAGAAATAAATAACTCAGTCTTACCTGGTATGGTCACAAGTGCAAAGTTCTCCAGCATCACATCAAGGTACAAGAATCTTTGAGTTTCATCAAGAAGTTCCCACTCTTCCCAGGAAAAGTGCATGAACACATCTTCAAATGTCACATAGCCCTAGCATGATAGGGATAATTAAGTCCATAGGCAGCACCTCTCAAAGACACCATCCCCCAGATTATTCACTCACATACATACAGCCCTTAGTCCCTCTCTTCCCCAGGCCTCCCAACTCAAGAGGACATACCAGGCCTTGGGACCACTAATTACTGCACTCTGCAGGTCACTCTCACCACGGTGTACAGCCCAGAGCAGAACCAGGGGAGTGTGCATAGATGTTGTCTAAACACTAGGACTGGTATGAAGGATCCCAAACACTCTCCTGCCAATCAGTTCTCCTGGTTTGTCCACACCATACCTTCTGAACACAAGTAAATCTCAGCTCGGCCTTCTCACAGAAATCACCAACACTAGAGCCGTAAGATTATAGCTCATGCTGCTCCTAACATGAGCATCACTGTTAGGATCATACCTTCCTTGCATTTGGTAATCCCACCACCACCATCTTCCTGGCACATATCATAGCATCTCAATGGCATCCCACACATGCAACTCTTCACATTTGCCTGTCTTCATAACATGCACAGTTCTGCACACTGGCCCTCATAAATTGAATATCTTCAATATAACCCTCTCCACAACGAAAAATCTGCATGTGCAGCTTGATGCCTCATCTACGGGGACTCTGGACCTTCTGAAACTAAACATGACCTCATTCCTGATATGACCACTAAATTCACTCCTGCCAGGAATTTCAACATCCTAGTTGATGGTCTTCCATCATTCTTTTTCTTTTCTTTTTTCTGACAACATTATTCCATTTAAAGAAAAAAAGCAAATTAAACCCTGGGGAACATTCATGAATCCTTCCTTTCTCTCATTCACCCTACAAGTCACTACCCTGTCACCCTACTTCAAAACAAATATTAAATTCACCAATTTCTCTCACGTCCACAGCTACTCCTCTGGGTCAAACTCCATCAACAATATTGCAGTAGACTAGTTGTCATACATACATGCTGTACTCAGCCTGAAAAGTACAGTAAGCCTGTTAAAACCTGAGACAAATCATCCCTCCTCCACCTTCCAAATCTTCCATGGTTTTACCACTCTCAAAACAGAGGCCTAGTTTTCCAACCTGCCCTTCCTGCCTGACTCCTACCCATACTGTCCATGCCCAACAGACATAGTTAAGAACTGTGGTTCCTTAAGCACTGCTAACTCAATCTTATCTCCAAGCATTTCCACATCGCAGATCCTGGGGTTAATAAACCCTTCCAGTTCTCACCCCATTGCTCCTCAGTACTCGGACCCTCTCCATATAACACCTGGTCTGGATTCAGGACACCGAACTACAATTGACCCCGCCTCTCCTACAGATCCCCTAGACTGAACTGCAGATAGAAGGATAATCCACGAAACCAAGGACATCAAAGTCCCTGAGAAAACCTTATCAGCCTATTAAGAAACATATAAAACACAGAGGTCTCTCTAACCTCCACTGCCACCACCATAGCCTACCCACCGTCAACACTGATCTGCACCACTACAGTAGACCCTACCCTGGTTCTCCTGCTCACCTCCATGTTTCCTTTGCTACCCACTCCGCAGCAAGAATGCCACTCAGACCTGAGCCACAGCTCCTCCATCTCAGTACTAAGCCTTCCATGGCTTCCCACCAGCCTCAAATGGCTGTTTGAAGCAAGCCGGGGCAAACAGTTCCCCAGACCCTATCTCAAAAAAAAAAAAACCTTCACAAAAATGGGGGGGGGGCAGGCTGGAGGAGCGGCTCAAGGTGGAGGCCCTAACTTCAAGCCACAGCACCACAAAAAAAAAAAAAAAGTGGCCTAACTTAAGATACAAACTTACTCTAAACTGTGTCTCAGCGCACTAACTCCTTTGTGGAGCGCCCGCTCTCGCGCCATTTGCCTCTTCTCTTAATGGCGTCCTAATAAATCTTTGCTTTCTCATAATTGACTCCTACTCTCCGCGGCTCCAAAATCCACCGCAACTGTCCTGTCCAAGCACCTGTCCACGCTGGCTCTGGAGCCTTGCAAACCCATCCATGGCTCACGCCGTTGATCCTGAGAATAGAACCGTCTCCACACTGACAGCCAAGTGACCACCCAGTGACCGTCCCCCTCCGACCCACCCCCCCACACGGTTGTAAACTCGGGAGGAGGCGACGAGGGTCCGGGGTCCAGGACACCGCAGTCTCCACGTGCGGGCGAGGGCCTGGGGGAACTTCTATTCACCTGAGCCGGGTCCATCAGCGCAGTCGCCGCCGTGTGCGGATCCGGGTCGCTGTGGGGCATGGCGGGATCGGCGCAGGGTGACCCCGCCGTGGCGGTCGCACTGGACGCCTGGGCCTGCTGGGTGGGGAAACGGCACCGGATCCAGACGCGACGAGAACAGACGGCAAGGTGCCCAGAGCTCGGGAAGGTTGCAGGTCCGCCGCGCTAGTCCGCCCAATCCAGGACGGACGTCACGGGTCGTCACACACGCGCGCGGAGAAAGGTCTTGTCCTCCACCGTAAAGTTCCAAAGATGAAACAGCAACCGTCACGGCCTGTGCGGAGACTTCCGGCGCAGGCTTACGTCAAAATGGCCGCTCCGGAAGTCCCGCCCCTTGGCCATGCGCCTTGCACACATTCTGGGTGATGTAGTTCCTGCCGGGTCAGCCATATGCCAAGGGCACCACCCCGAGACATAGAGGGAAAAAAGGGTAGAGGAAATAAGCTTGGACCACCAATCTCCCGTTAGAAGGGACACACTCAAATTTCTTTGGTCATTTCAGACAGTGGCACGCCTCAGAGATCGCCAGTAGGTAAAGCAAAACATCCATTGAGATGGCAGAACAGATAATAGAATGATTATAATCAAGAAAACAACAAATCCTAGTGAGGATTGAGGGATATAGGGACGGTCATTCACTGTTGGTGGGACTGTAAACTAGTGCAATTGCTATGGAATTTGGTATGGAGGTTCCTCCACAGCACTAAAAAGCGAGCTACCATATGATCCTGCAGAAGAAGTACACAATGTACATACAGACAACTGCACCCCACGTTTATTACAACCCTATTCCCAACAGCCAAGTTATGGAATCAGCCCCAGTAACCACCTACAGATGAAAGGAGTATAATTCAGCCATAAGGAAGAATGACATTATGTCATTCTGTAGCAGGGAGGAGCATCAGAAAAAAACAAACTAGGCCTGAGTCCTGAAAAAGTAGCAGGGAGGTAGGGATGACATAGCAGAGAGAGAAAACCTGAGAAATCTGAACACGAGAAAGGTCACGTAGCACCAGGAAGGGGAAAGTCACATAGCAGTAGCATAAAGTAGCCAATAAAATTAAATATAACCATATATGAATTAGATCTTGCTTTTTGCTTCTGTAACCTGCTTGCAAGGGTATATAAGGTGAGACCCCTTTATTTCGGGGCTCAGTCTTTGGACATGAGTTTGCTGAGTCTGTGCTTGCACAATAAAACATTGTTTCCTGCTAGTTGCCTCAAGAGTCCCATATCTCAGCTAGCAAACTCCCTCAACATTTCCTGTGGGCTCATCCAGGATTGAGCAGATGGTGAGTTATCACCTCCCTTGTCACCAAGGTGCATATCCCAGGACCGCCAGGAGGAGATCCCACCAGGAGCCAATGGACAGCTTGATCCAGAGGGGGATTCATCCTCCTGGCAAGTTGGGTGAGGGCCACGGATGCACAATGGAACCCAGTGAGATGCAAGAACCAGAAAGGGGAGGGGAGCAATACTTATTAGACTGGCAAGAAACCAGGTTCAAATTCAGGCCTGTCCCAGGAGGCAAGAATGGAGCTTGATCACCTCCCAATGGGACATCCTAGTAACCACCTTTTTTAGAGGGGAAACCATGTCTGTCAGATTCAGGGAGCAGGATGGAAGTATGGTACTGTATGAGGGTATATGAAAATGCAAGCTGAGACACAGCCCAGCTGCGAAATGAGTGAAGTGTTCCCTCCTGCTCTGTGTCTGTCTGGCAGTCTGGTAACAGGAGGAGATGTGTGGAAATCAGAGTAAAAATACTCCCTTGTAGTGTATGATTAATAACTTTAAAAAGGGATTTAATGGAGACTATGTAGTTAACACCTAACAAGCTAAAGGTCCTTTGGCCTGATTTTTGGTGTAGTATGGCTCCTGGAGGAGTCACTAGATAAAACTGTGATTAATGAAGTTTACAGAGTAATTGTAAAAAAAAAAAAAAAAAAAAAACCCTAACACCCAGGAGAATGGGAAAAGCCAAAAGGCTAAAACTGGTTTTCAAAAACCAAACTGCTATTTATTTCAATTCAGGTAGCAAGTTAATGGGCATCCTGAAGGAGGACTGAGGCTCAGCACTAACTGAACTCTTAAAAAATTAACACATAAAGGATAGACTTGCACTGATACATAAGATCTGGTCTGACTTGAAAGAAAAGAAATGTTGCAGAGGGATGGAAACAAAATTGGGATGATGTCTTCCTAAATAAAGTGAAGAAAGAGAGTGGAGAGAGGGAAAAAAGAGGAAAAAATGTCATGAAACGTTTGGAGACAGAAAAGGATGAAAGATTTAATACATTCCTTCAGTTGAGTTTTTATATCTTAAAAATAAAAAGTAAATAGAAAACAATTTAGGATTATTAAAACATGCCAGATCTACTGAACTTGCTGGAACCTTTACTTCTAGGGAGCATAAATGGGAGAATCTACCTAAAAGGGTAAAAAGAAAAGGAGCAACTTTGATTGTTGCAAGTAAAAAAAAAACTGTTCCAAAAGGTCGGTGAAGTAAGCTTGGTCTGATATTGAGACAGTCATGAGATGATTACGATTCCCTTGCTAATGGCTGGTCAGATTATGCATCCATCTAATGGTATGCTCACAGTATGTGTGTGTATGTAAACATCTTCAAAATGGTTCTTAAATGCTGCTAGAAGGTTAATATGATACTCAAGAGGACAAAAAAACAGGGTATTTTAAAGATCTCTGTTATAAACTGCTTAGGATTTTTACACATAAATATGTAAATATCTTGAGAACGGTTCTTATTATAGAATCAATGTAAAAATTATTACTCTGTTCTGCTGCTACTTTTTAAGTAAACAGGTTATCAAACTTATTTCAAACAGGTCTCACTAAGATGCAGGCATTAGGGATTAACATTCTGGCTTAGACCCGAGGTTAAAAAAAAAAAAAGAAAAGAAAAGAAAAGGGGGGGCCACAGCCTGCAACAAAAATCTTGGAATTTGGGTAAAGAAATGACCTTCATAAGTGTCATTCTGCCACAATTACAATCTGGAATTTAATTCTCTCATAATACAGGAGTCTATTAACAAATGGAGTTTCTATAAATTGTTTTTGTACAAAAAATAATTTTAAGGTTGCTTTCTTTCTGTTTTTTCCCATACAAATATAAGGTTCCAAGTTAAAAATTTTTATAAATTAATTTCAACAAGTAACATAATATGAAAGATATGATTTTTTTAAATAAATGGATAAAAAAAACTTTAAAAAAAGGATAAAGACAAGCTCCCCCAGGGGATACAAAATAAGTTTTCATAAAGGTACAGAGTAGGTTGTCATAAAAAGATGGAGCTGATACATGCTTATGTAAGTGATTAACAACTAAAACCTAAGAGTTACATTAAAGGTTTTTGTAGGGTCAAAATATAATGTACTGATGTTAAACTAAAAACTTAATTCTCTAAGCTCATAACAAGAAGGCTATCTTTGAAATATTGTATTGTTCTTAGTAACATTTACAAAAAATGTTTTTAAATGGTTTTTGTTTTGTCAAGATAACTGTCAGGGAATTTTTGGTGCAACAGGTAATTCACAAATTTGGCAAGACAAGAGTTTATTAAAACACAGAAAAACAAGAGGCAGCTGAACACAGGGAGTACTACTGCACTGATATAAGGGTTGAGACAGATTTACTTATGTAAAACCAAAGTACACCCTCCAGATAGGATTAAAAAAACTAAAAAAGAAGCACTACACTGGAAGTCAAGACCTCCAGTTTTTATTGGACTCAACAGAGTGAAGGTATTAGTCCTAATCCTTCCACATGTTGGATGGAGGGAATTTTTGCCCTGGGATGCCCAGATTGGGCCTGTTATTTTGGGGGCTCCATTGTCTACAGGTTGGTGGGATCTTGCTGTATGTCATGAACCATATATAAATGTCTACAACCTGGGATGTGATCCCTTATCAACATCTGAGCCATGATTCTTGGCCACTATGTTTCCTAACTCCACACTTAGTCCCCATAAATATTTACCTGTGTTCTCTGGTGATTTTTGGGGGGGTTTTAACTAATAAGGTAACTGAGTCATGTTCATTTAAGAGTCGGTTTATGCAGGGGTTAACAATGAAGACAGCCATGTTAAGACTAGGCTTCCTCCCCCTTGCAGATGGCTTATCTTTATCTCTCTGTATAGATGCCAAGGACAGTTGGACAGACAGTGACCTAACTATAACTTATCTTTCTTGGTTTCCCAGCAACATATCCCTTAGTGACCTTCCTGGTACTTTTCCACTAGCCCTTATATCTAGCCCAAGCCTGTGTATGGCAATGGGCTCTAGCTCTCTTGCTGGGGTCTCCCTCTACAGGGCTCCTCCCTAAACAATAAACTCTGTACTAGTGTTTGAGCCATCTCTCTGCCTCTTCCATACCTCTTATTTTTCTAACAGTTTATATAAAACTTTCTAGATGACCTCATGGTAAAACAACTGATGTCTTGGGTGATTCTAATGGTGTTGGTATCCTATATGTGTCTGTGACTGGGCTATTTGGGTTTACTAAAACTGTTCTTTCCCCCAACTGATGAAAAAATCTAAGGTTTTACTTCAAGAGCAACAACTAAACCAATATGTATATATAACCTCTATAGAGCTGTGATGCTGTTTCTGGTTTCTATATATTAAATATATTTATGTTCTTCAAGTGTATCAAGCCTTCTAAAACATAAAATTTAGTTAAACACGGTAACAAAAAATTAGTGGTACTGATATACTGTTCTGTTAGTTGTTAAATTGTCCATCAGAATTTTACCATGACTTAAGTTTTTGTCATTACAGTTCTTATCCTTCTGGGACATTTATAATCAAATCCATAAAAAATGACTCTAATAAGTACTTAGGTGTCACCAAGGTTAGCTTTTTAGACATCTGCTTTTGTTAGATTTTGTTTTGTATTGTCCTTGTCTAGAATCCCACTGCCTAAGAGCCACTCATTCTAAGCCTCTTTGTTGCTTAAATTTGGCCAAAAGGGTCTAAGTTGGCACTGACTCCCACCTGATATGCTAGTTATTCCCTCCCAAGGTGGGACCAAGACGAAACAAACAAACAAAATCCAGGAAAAAGCAAATCCTGACGATGACCATATGGCCTTCAGTCTAAGGCCATATCACCTTGAAAGTGCCTAATTTCTTCTGGTCTTGGAAGTTAAGCAGAGTTGGTTAGTACTTGGATGGAAGACAGATCTTCAGAAGAGACTGCTCAGAAACAAGCAATTTGGTGACAAAGGTGGGAATGCCATCAAAGTTCCAATGGAGTCACTGG